AAACAGCAATAGAAGGATGAGCGATTAAAAAGTATTCACAGTCGCTACTTGAGCGCCTAAGCGACACTCGCAATAGCATCGATAATCGATAATCGCTTAATAGTCGTTTATCTACTGCCAGTCGACATTCGCAATAGGGGTGATTTACTTGTTTTACAAAAGTTTTTTATGCAATAAATTAATTATTTTATTTAAAGGCCCGAATTTCTTTTGTTTAATCTGAAAGATTGGTGTGAATAATTAACCAATACTGTAAACAATATTACGTGCAGTTTTAATTTTTACTGCTAATTTGTGTAGCTAAAAACCTCGCAAACTCGCGAAATCTCGTTTTAATGATGAACAAATTTTGGTAGTTTGGAAACTGATTTGGTAGGCGTTTTGGTACCTAAAAATATTTTCAAGTAGCAACACTGCCTGTGAATCCAAGCAACAATTAATCAAGAAGTGAGCAGTTGATTTCTACTTGCGGATGTATGCACAGAACAAAAACCACTGGTTGAACGAAAGAATATAATCCGATGAGACTTACCTAACTAAAAACCAACGACGATTAAGCACGGCTATAAGTAGTGACGGACAAACAGAAACTATTCAGAACGAAAAATGACACTGAAGATGGCACAACGCTGAAACTGAATAATAACTGTATTTTTTGATTATTTTCCGGTTTTTGTCTTTTTTAGTGCCTCATTTTGCCTTTTTGCGATTTCCCGTGCCTCTTCCTGCCTATTTCGCTATTTTATATTATCTTTTCTAGCCTATTTCGTTCTTTTATTTTGCTTTTTTTTATAGATTTTTAGGTCCTAAAAATCCGTTCTGCATAGCAAGGACTGGAGACAACATGTTGTAAAACAAATGAAAGCTTGATTCATTTGCTATTTAACTATACGATTTTTGAAAATATTAAATAGATAAGGCAGTTAAAATAAAATGTGCTTCTTTAAAATTGTTTGCCATTTTTTACATAGATTGGATTTTTGCTAAAAAATTTCAATATATATATAATATTTGCATATCAAACGGATCAAACGGATTCATATCTCCAATTGAATGACATCAAAATTATTTGAATCTGTGCTATGGTTTTCGAGATATTTGGATTTGAAAACAGCGCTGCATTTTACTTTTGACTTTTCTTAACTCCTGTAGTTCTCATTAAAACACATATGTATATCGCACACCTAGATCTAAAGTGAGCCAACTCAAAATTCAGTTCGGGAAATATAACTGCTTGTGGATCGTACAGATTCAACGCATTTAATACAAAAACAGGTATAACAGTATTTTTTTAGTTAGTGAATATAATCATGAAGAAACAAATATTTGCATTCATTGGAGGTAAGTAAGGGAGTTGATCCCACTTTAAATCTAGGTGTGCGATATGATAGAGGTGGAAAGTATATTGACCTATTTTTGCATGTCAAATGTACATAATGAGGTTAAGTATGGCTGCATTCCATAACGTCAAAATACAAAGCATCAGGTATTTCTTATTTCTAAACCTCAGTAGATTGTAATTTGAAATGTGCGCAACCAATGTTAGATGCTAGTTTTCAACTAGGTTGCGTATGTTAGACCTTTTCTCCAAGTGCTGTTTAGAAATAAAAGACACTGATGCTTTGTATTTTGACGTTTTGGAATTCACCCTATATTTAAAATTATTTAGGAGCGTAGCCGTTGGGATTATTGCTTTGCCAACGCCAAGTGTCTTTACACATTTCATGTATTCCGCGTTTAGCTTTCCACCCAAGAGAAGCTTCCGCTAACGACGCATCGGCATAACAAGTACTGACATCTCCAGAACGTCGGTCAGTAAATTCAAAGTTTACTTTACGTTTGCTAGCTTTCTCAAAGGCATGTACCATTTCCAGAACAGAATATCCAACACCAGTCCCAAGATTATATGCAAAGAATCCAGTTTCGGCAACATTTCTTAATTTTTCCAAGGCTTTTAGATGGCCTTCAGCAAGGTCTACAATATGTATATAGTCACGGACTCCAGTACCATCTTTTGTTGGGAAATCAGATCCGTAAATTCGTAAAACATCTCGCCGCCCTACAGCCACCTGGGCAATAAACGGCATTAAATTGTTAGGCTCTCCATTAGGGTCTTCACCAATGCGCCCGCTTGGATGTGCGCCCACAGGATTAAAATAACGAAGGGAAACCACCGCCCAACGCTGTAAAAATATATCGGAATTTTTATTAGTTATGGTTATTGTAGTATTCTAAGTAATACTAGTAAATACTCGTTACTTACGAGTCATAAGTAATACAAGTAAATATATAATCAAATAAAACACCTCTTCGAGGAAAATATTTCGAGTGACGAAAGCTGAACTAGAAACACAAAATTTGTGATATCAATTACGTACCGAAAATTATACGCATTTTTTTAACTGACCTGGAAACTGACGCTAACTAGTGGTATTCATACGAATCGTTGCTAAAGTTTTTATTTTTTTATTTTGAGTTTCTAAGGGTGCGTTCACACAGAAAGCCCGGCGGCGTCGAGCAAAGCAAGGTGGAACAAGGCGAAGCTGCTGCTGTTCACACTGAATGAAGCGAAGCGTAGCTTTTCTGAGGGACTCGGCAGGAAAGATACCACAACAATTACCGTCAATGAAAAGCGGCAAAAATGCTCAATTTTATTCAGAACTTTAGTTGTAAAATTTGCTTTCCGCTCCAAAGCGCGTCTGAAAAAGCTTGCTGTATGAATACTTTCATATATATAGCTACAGCAATTTTAAAACTTCACTTAACTCGTAACAGCTTCGCTCGGCTCGACTCCGCATTCTGTGTGAATGTGCCCTAAGAGTGGACAGAACTTTGCAACGGTCCGAATAAATAAAACTATTTTGCGTCAGTCTCCAGGGCAGTTAAAAAAATGTGTATAATTTTCGGCACGAAATTGATATAATAAATTTCTTGATTCTAGTTCAGCTTTCGTCACTCGAAATATTTACCTCGAAGAGGTATTTTATATATCAATTATTTTGTGGTAGGAAATTAAAAATCAACGAAAATCCAAACAAAAATCTATCGGCCCTATTCACAAAAAATAAAATAGATTTAAAGAGCTCTATAAAGTGACATTTTCATACAAATTTTCTATTTATAAAGCAGCTAAAGCCATCTTTATTATTTATGACTTTGGGTGTAAATGTTTTATTTTTCTTAAATAAATTTCTAAAAACGCTTTCTAAATCTGAATGATTTATTCAAATATTTAACATTGAATTCAATTCCATTGAACCATATAATTCTTCGAATACAGAATAAAGCGAAAAAGGATGATCATATCCAGGGAACGGATTTTATGGAAATTGCCTTTTTTTCTGCTAAAGAGATAGAGTATATTCGATTAAGAATGTCCACGATTTAGCTTTCCCTGATTCCATGTATACACATTTGATGTTGCCTTTTTTTGCCTTTTTTAAGATATTTGCCTTTTTTTGCCTTTTTTAAGATATTTGCCCTTTTTTGCCTTTTCTACCTTTAAAAGAGTGATTATAGCATTTACAATTTTTTTTTAGATTAAAAAATATACACATGCCCATGCGGCTTATAGAAGCGCAGGGACCTCTTGCCAAATTGGTGTTGGAAAAATTCAAAGCCGTTTTCTCAGCTAACGTAGGCTTGAAGACAATAAGGGGTGTGTATAAAATTGTAAAGGGCGAGGAAAATGCCCTTATACCTGATAATATGAATGTTTCAAACGTTCCATATTTAAATTGGGCTCCATTTTTATCAACTTACGTCGAGCGCTCATTTAGTACATTCAAGGCCTTTCTTCGCGAAAATCGAATGAAAATGCTGCCAGAAAACTTCAAAATGCATCTTGTGGTTCAATGTTACTACAACTATACAGATTAAGGTTTTATGAGTTAGAAACTCGAAAGGATAAAATAGTCAAAGAGTCAAAGTACAAATTTTTCATATAATGAAACTAGTTCATAGTTTTTCTCTTTTTCTTGTAATATAAAAATTTCTAAAATAAAAATATTTTTTGATTGTTCTTCGTATTTTCTGTTTTTTTTATGGCCTTATTTTGCTTTTTTGGCATTACCATTTTTTTGCCTTTTCCTGCCTTTGTCCCTATTTTGTTTTGCCTTTTTTTGCCTTTTTTGCAATACCTAGTGCCTTTTGCTGCCTTTTTCGTTATTTTATTTTGCCTTTTCCAGCCTATTTCGTTACTTAATTTGGCTTTTTTATAGGTGTTTAGGTCCTAAAAATCCGTTCCCTGATCATATCCTTCGTATCAAAAAAATATATGTATACAAATTAAAAAAAACAGACTAAATGTGAAAAATTATAAAAACATAGCAACGTGGTACCAAAATTAGATACAATAAGCAATTGTATTCGTCTCATTATCTGCGCTACACACATGTGTTTTTTTGCGTTGCACAAGGGTATATTAACTTTGTTCACATAACCGTTGTTTGTAACAGTCAAAACGAAACGAGATAGATATAGACAAATATATACATAAATGTTCAGAATAAATAAAGAAGTCGATTAAGCCATGTCTGTCTGTCCGTCCGTGTAAACGACGATTGAGAATCTCAACGAAATTTTGTATATAGGTTTCCCTTTATCAAAGGTAGGCTGGTATTGAAAATGGGCGAAATCGGACTGTAACCACGCCCACTTCCCATATAAAGGTATTTTCGAAAAATACAAAAACTACGATATTTCAGTAAACATTGGATGCAAATTGCAGAAAACTAATATGTAAAGTAGAATTTTGGTAGAAATTATTATTATTTTGATGAAACGCTGTGTCTAATAGCCGCTTCATCAATCCTTACCAAACTCGGTACGAGTCTTTCCTAGGGTCTAGCAAAGAAATCTGTTGGAAATCTTTGAAATCGGGCAAAGACCACGCCCACCTACCATATAACCGTAATTTACAGAAACACCTAAACTGCGATGAATCAGTAACTATTAAAGCTAATTCCCCTAAAATCGATGATTGCAATAACCACTTAGCGGAAAATTAGATTATTATAAGTTTTTGGATAGTGGGCGTGGCGCCCTTATGACCACATATGTGTATCTCGGTAACCGATTTATCAATTTCTGTCAAACTGGGTTCTCTTAATAACTTTGGTACGTAAAAGCAATTCGGTAAAAATTGTTCAAATCACTAACGGTCAATTTCAGAAATACGAAAACTCCGATGTTTCAATAACTGAGCATGCTAACTTACTCCAAGTTAATAGTTACAACACTTTTCTATCAATAAATAAGAATGCTATAGAACTCTAGGAGTTGAGCGTGGCACCGCCCACTTTATGATTACAAAGGTATATCTCGGCATGGGCGTCGATACCTAGCCCCCCCCCCCCTAACCTGTGAAGTTTACCTTCTATACAATACCAAGAAATCTTTTTAATTTTATTTTATTTATTTTTTATTCAAATATATATTCAGTACAATATTACACAATTCCATTATTGTACTCCGCGAAGCTTAGGGAGCTTATCTCCGGGTATAGTTTATTATTATTATATTACGAACTATTGTTCGTTGCTACATTTGTTTAGTAATAGCTTTTGTTTAATTATCATATTACAATTAAATTCATCTTTTACATTGAGTTCAAATAATGATTGTTAATTAATGTTTCTCTATGCGGTGTTTTTGGTAGATTTAAGTTGTTTGCAGGTAGTTCATTAAGTAGAGTCGGGATTGTGACACTAAGAGAGTGTTTTGAGTACTCATTCCTGAATTTAGATACCTGGAAGCGTCCTTCTTCCCGTCTTCTGTGTGGCACTGAAAGCAAAATTCTTTGCCCGGTAGAAAAAAACATATAAATCACAGTTTCAAAGTTTATACAAAGTTTAGGAAAATCCAACAAAATTTCACCTTTTCTTGAATCTTTACAACATTTTTGGTTATGCAGTTTTCTAGCCCATACAATTTTAGTCCAATGAAGTGCAGGTTTCATCCAGCTAAAAAATCGATAGTTGATAATTGTTTTTTGGAGACTACTTTTGCGGTTTTTATATAACAAGTGTAATCTTCAAAAAAATTGGGTTGATTTTTTGAAATTTTGTTGCTAACGGTCTCCCTCATTTTGTTTCGTAAGAAATTCCTGTTTATATGGAAAAAGGGCAAAAATCCGTCACCACAAAAATATTCTCAGAAATTTTCTGGCCATTTGAAACTTGCACTTCATTAGACTAAAATTGCATACCCAAAAGTTGTCTAAAGAATCAGATTAAAAAGTTGAAAATTTGTGGAATTTTCCTAAATTTTGTATAAGGTTTGTAGCTGTGATTTATGTGGTTAAAGCTTGAACCGTATTTTTTATAGAAAAATGACCAAAAAAGCTTGAAAAACATTACGAATGTTTAAAAAAAATAAGCACGTGGTCATTTATTTGAATCACTTACTTAGTTTTTCTCTCTGACGCCTGACGTTTTTTAAAAGGACCTTGGAATTAAAAAATATGAATATTTCAAAACTTTTTTAAAAAATTCAGTGGAATGTAGTATAAAGATAAGGGTATCAAATATAAGAAAAAATTCTGTAGAATTATAACAGAATAAATGTTTTGGCGCATAAAAAAAATCAAAAATTTTGTCCTTAAAAATCCTTAAATATTTGCAATATTTATTTTTGAAAAAATTATTGTTTGAGGACTAATACATGTACAAACGACCACATCATCGAATTTCGTCCTGCAAACTACATTGACTTGAAAAGATAAAATTTATTAAAAGCACATTTTCAATACCTATTCGTCCTTGCTAACCAAACAATTTTACATACAGCAAAAATTTTACTGTTCTTAAACTCAACAGAACTTTCTGTTTCATTTGGTACCCATATTGTTATCTACATTGCACTGCTTTTTTTAAAAAATTATTAAAATTTCAAAGTCCTTTGAAAAAAAATCCTGACGTCAGAGTGAAAAACTAAAAACGCAGTTTTACTATATTTGGCCTTTAGTTTCGTGAGTATATAGATTCTTTCGTGTGTTCTGGAATTTTTTTGTTTTTGTGACACAGTGTTATTCATAGTTTTGAAATATATTTCATGAAAGCAAAAAATAAAAATAGTTGGCATCACTTTCTTTTTTAAACACCTAGGATATCACTGACCATTATAAAGGACAGTGAATGACGGCAAAGCCCCAAGTTCTACATACTTGTTTATGTGATTTTTG